GGCACTTCCTAGGGGTCTTTGAACGTGCAACTCTGGTACCCTAGCCTCCAAGGTCTCTTTGGGAAATACAGGTAACCTGTTACGATGGCAGGTCCCTGGGGATGCTCTAGATGATGACTCGTATAAAATCAAGAAGCAGCCCTGGCTGGGTAGTGGGAACACAGTCCGCTGCTAACTACAAGGTCAGCAGTTCAAAACCACCAGTTGCTCTGCGGGAGAAGGGCGAGGCCGTCTGTTCCTTTAAAGAGTGACAGTCTTGGACACCCACAGGGGCAGTTCTAGTCCGTTCTACTGGGTTGCTATGGGTCAGAGCAGACTCGATGGCAGGACGCTTGGCTTGGGAATGTAAAACCAAACATACTCGCAGCCTGAGGTCCAGAGCGCGGATTCTGGTGTTCAATATGCACAGATAAGGTGGCAGCCTTTCGGGTGGAATTGGCCTGCCCTCCAGTCTTAATAACTGGTCGTATCGGTCAGGACTATTTTCCGACCAGGAATCTGATCCTGTTTGGAGACCATGTGGGAGTCAGATCTTGAATCTTAAACTCTGTAGCACCAGCTTCTCATCAGCTCAGTCGCCTGGTGACAGGTGGGGCCCTGCTGTGTCCTTAAACTGTCCACCCACCTTGTGTTTGCTGCACCCATGCCTTGGAGCTGAATATTTCTCAGTGGAAACGCACCATGCTTTTAAAACACACCCCACTGAGGAGGGCTGGGGAATGGCATTTGTTATGGACAAATTCATTTTACAGACAACTCTTTAAGAGCCTTCAGCAATGGAAGGCTGTGCTCAGATCACATTCTTGGGGCCCCCGAGACTGTTTGGGGTGGGAACATAGATCTTTATACACACAAAAAGGAGAGACATTTATTTGCTAAAAACACCTTTTTCTCTCGTGTTCCTTCATCTTTCCAGGCATGGGTATATCAGGGCTCTGGGGGCCGTCCTGGCCCTCAATTCCAGACACAAACTGGCTGGCTCTCATCGCTTGAGCCCGAAGCCCAGCTACGGGCACTAGGCTTGTCAAAGATGCATTATACTGTGGTTCTGTGTATGGCCCCCAGCTAGCCTAGCCTCTGCCTCCCCTGGCAGCCCCTCCCCAGGTCTCCTGAACCAAGATGCACAATTGAACTTGATTCTCAGGAGATTCACAGCATGTTACAGTGAAGGGGTGCTGGCCTGCAGCCCAGAACTCTCTCAGTGCCCTCAGCCCACTGTGGGCTGCCATGCCTCCCCTCCTTGCTCCCCATCTCTTCACAGACACCCAGCTTCTCGAGGATTCCACAAGTGGTCCTGGGTTCCTGAGACCCAGGCCCGCGTTCATTCTGTCCCTCTATATCTCTCGTCACAGACACGAGAGTGGGGTGATCATGGCATAGTGGGAATGGGACGCCAGACACCTGGATAAGAGCTACTGGCACCCATGGAGACAGCTTCCCATGAAGAGAACGCACAGTGTAACCCAGATGTGCAGAGAGAAGACCCATCTGCCTAGGGTGGCCGAGTCAGGGACCGGCGACTGAGAATGAGATGGCCATAGTGATTATCAAAGACTTGCTCCCTCATCTCAACTGGCTTAGCCTAGTGGCTCCCAACTAGGGGCTCCCTGGGGGGCTCTGAAGGCTCTCTGGGGGCTCCATACTATCACAGCCTCTGTAGAACCCTGATGGTCACTGCCCCTTCACTGGGGTGGGGTGGGAACGATGTCCACATGTGATGTTCACACAACATGTTCCTTTGCGTTCAGTGGGATTAGATCCCTGCCCAGGCTCTCTCGGGCTGACGGGAGTTGAATAAAATATCCTTGTTGCCTTTGATTCACCCCCAAAGAGAAAGCTTCCATCATCGAACAAATAGTTTGCCGATTGGACAAACATGGCTACTGGGCAAACAATAGTAGGAGGACCTTTTCTGGTCACAAAGTCAAGAGAATTTCATTTAGGTGTGGGTGCTACTGGGGCGGGCGGGGGTGGGTGGGGTGCACGGAGGTTGGGGAGACAGCTGTCTTGGTTGGCATCTGCTTTGTTCTTTTTCATTAAAATGAAGCAAGGACCCCCTCCCCAGCTTGGTTGGTATGGGGGTGACCCAAAGCAGCACAACGGGCAGGACTGAGCCTCCTAGGCTGCTGTGGGCGCCCGAGGAGGGGCAGGGTCCCAGTGTACCACCACAGCTGTCCGATACTCGCTCCTCCTCCCCGGTCCCTGCAAAAGCTGCCCTTGACACTGCACGGACTCCTGATTGCTGGGCTAGAGGGAAGCCTGCCGAAAGCCAAGCATGTGGTCAAACTTGAGTTTCTCTTACAACCCTGCAAGCCCACCCACCGTAGGGCAGGACATGATGGGGAGAAGGTGGTGAGCCCACAGGGAAGGCAGTCCTCGGTGGGGTCCCCCTCTGCTCAGCATCTTCCTTCTGACTGTGGTTTCAGTTGGGGTTGAATGGGTGTGTGGGGACGGGGAGTGTTCCTTTTACATACATGACCCCGTGTGAGGTCACAGGGCTGATCCTCATGTATTCTGGCTGGATAAAGACCCCTCCTTCAGGCCTGCCCACCCCCATCCTGTAGCCACAGTCTGGAGGCCTGGGAGTTACTGGACTGGAGAGTGCAGGGGTTGAAGGGAGGGCTCTGGAATCCTAGGGATTCAGGGGGCACTGCCATCAATGACAACTTCCGCTGAAGCGGCGTCTCACGCCTACCGCCTGCTTCTCTGCATCCCTCATCAAGGACACGACACCCCCAGACCCCATAATTGGCCAGGAGGCCTCTTCTCCATCCCAGATTTACTGTTAGTCACCTTGGTAGCTTCTTAACCTGGTCTTCGTCTGTCTGCCTGGTAGGCGCTGAGGCCCTGTTGCAGGAAACTCCCACAACCGAGGGCTACAGGACCCAGCAAAGAACAAGGCGACCGCCGTGTGGTGGGTTCAAACACAGCTTCAGAAGGAGTCCGTGCTGAGCTGCGGACAACAGACCATTCATTAGCCCAGAGAAGAGCCTAGAACTCCGATGGGGACACACTAGCCAGGGTCCTTCTTTACTGCAAGGCCCGGTGGGGATCTTTTTGGTGATTATTTCCATTTCTGTATCTGGGTGCCCCTCATTGCGTCCACATATTTTCCCTGGCCTGCTGATGTGCCCCCCTTCCTGGGAGACATGAGACCCCTCCACCAGGGCGAAAGAGCACATCAGAGTCTTCCTCTTGGCATTCCCGAAGCTCACCCAGTGCCCAGCAGTCAGACGCAGACTTGACGGTGCATCTCTCCACCATGCTGGCCACAGGGTCCACCATAAGAGGCGAGGATGATGAGACTGTGTCTCACAGACCTTGGACATGTGTCAGGAGGGGCAGGTCCCTGGAAAAGGACATCATGCTCAGTCAAGTCAAGGGGCAGGGGAAAAGAGGAGCCGGATTGACACCGTGGCTGCAGCAGCAGCTCGTGCGCATGGTCGGTTGAATGGACGGCGCAGGACCAAGCGGGCAGCATTTTGTTCAGTTGCCGTAAGGCGGCTATGGGTTGGGACCAACTCGAGGGCACCTAACAAGAACAATTCCCACCAAGCTGAGCCCCTGCGGGGGGGAAGGTCCACCAGCAGGACAGAGGGGCCTGTTTAAACCAGGCTCCATCCATTTCTAGCCACGGAGCCTTAAGCGAGTCATCTGACGGCTTGCTGCTTCATGTCCTCTTCTGAGAAACAATGAGCCCGGCCACTCGACTTGGGTGGTTCCTGAGAGGGTGGCCTGGGCAAGTCCCAGGCTTCAGAGCACAGCTCGTGTGCAGGACACTGGTGTGCACAGGGAGGGAACCGCTGCTTGCTGCTCTGGAGCTGAGCACACTGCTGGGATCACTGGGTATGTTTTGGTGCTAAGACAAGTTAATTTGTTGTCGTTGCTGTTTCTGTTTTTTTTTCAACCAGCATCTCTTCAAGCAGAGAGCTAACGATGGTAGACCAGGTGAGTGTTTTCAGAGGGAAACCCCAACCCCACCACGCTCCACTCCTTTCACCCAGGCAGGCCCAGGACTGCCCCAACTCCTCACAGAGACGCCAAGCCAGCTGCCATCCAGTGGATCAGCTTCGTGACGATGCTCCTTCCAATGTGCTCCAAGCCCTTTAGGATGGGATAGGGATTCAGGAAAGGCAAGGGGGGCGGGTGGAAACCAGTTTCCAAGGGAGAGCAGGAGAAGGAGGGGACCTCTCGAGCATTCCCAGAGTGCTGGAAGCCAGTCCCAGTCCTTGGAGACAGTCCCAAGTCGGCGCTGCGGGTGGGACTGGGAATGGCCTCCATCCACAGGGACAGGTCCCTGCTGTTCTGGAGCGAGAGCTTGTACTGAGGGAGACCAGCGGCCCCATCAAGGCCAGCATTTGCTTTGGACAACAGAAATGCAGACGCGCTGTGCAAGCTCTGGTGTCCACAGGCACTCAGGGCAATGGTGGGAGGGGGGCCCGGGGGCCGAGCTAGACCCTTTCCACACTCGAATGCTTAGCCCCATTTGCCAGAGGAGGAAAGCAAAGCTCAGAGAGGGTCAATGAGGGTCCCAAGGTCACTCCGATGAGAGTCCAGGACTTCACTATCGAGTGGTCACGGATGAATGCTCCTGGTTTCACTGAGAGGCTCGTTCCTAGCCCATCAGAACCAGGGCCCCCACTAGCAACACCCCACAGTGACCACATATACAGACCTAATCAGGGGGAGGGGCCTGAGCAGTCAGTATTCACCTCCCAGCTGGTGAGTCGGCTCATCTCACGGGTCTCCCAGAGGTGTCCCAGGAGAGCTGGGCTCCGTAGGGTTTGCACCGAAGGGGGGAGTAGTTTGCCAGGCCTTTCTTCTGTAGTACCCCTGGGTAGACCCAACCCACCACCCTTCTGGTTACCAGGGAGCCCTGACTGTTGGCACCAGCGCTCAGGGATGTCAGTAGTCACACAGCAAGATGGCCTTCATGGCAAGGATTTCTCCGAGAGGGAACCAGTGTGACAAGGATGGAAGACTGGAATCAGGTCATGTTAAAAATAACGGGAGGGGGATCCAGAAGTTTCCAGAAGAGCACCATTTCCCCAAGACCAAGCTAACTCTAACTCCCTTCCTCCCTGGTCCCCCAGTAGGCAGAGGAAAGGGATGGGGGTGCTCTAGTTCTGTGGCTTTCTTGAGCAGCCCTGTGGGGAGGTGGTTAGAATCAGAACTTTGGAGCCAGACAAGACTGGGTTGTCATCCAGCTCTGCCACGTAGCCTCTCTGACCCTGCGTCTCTTCATCTGCAATGCGTCCATCCAAGACTTCTGGGCCGTGTGGGGCTAGTGCTGGGCATCAGTGACTCAGCAATGAACGGAGGAGGCCAGACTGGAGCGCTCCCAAGCTCAACGCCTAACAGAGAAAACACACAGAAACATGGCACCGAAGACAAACAGGGATGGGAGCCACCTCTGCCTGGGCTGCTGGTGAGGGTTGAGTGACACTGAGGTGCCGGCGGTGAGCACACAGTGGGCACTCCGCCAGGGGAGTGGCTTTCCCGGCTGCTGCTATGATAACGATTGTAACCTGAAAAAAACGGGGCTGCCTTGGGGACCAGTCTCATCAGAGTCACCCTCCAAAGCAACACCCGTCTGACATCCAAAAATCATTGAAAAGCAGTGTAAATCTTCCAGAAATCTCTCAAAGACACACCAAAGGGGAATTCCTTTGTGGAACACACACAAAAACATCCGAAAGAAGCTGCACCAACTTCTATGCCTGGAAGGTCTCCCAGCAGTTGTTCCAGAAACATCTCCACTCCCTCCGCCCCCTTTCCTCCTTCTCAGAGAAGCGGGGGCTGCTGGGCTCAGCCTCAGAGACAACAAACAAACGGCTTGGGTTGGATCCAGACTCCGGCTCCTTCCTTGCTCGGCTTGGCCTGTCCAGGCAAAGAGCAGGCAGCAGTCACACCGTCGAAGGGTCAAAGTGACCGTCAGCAAGATGCTCTTGTGAGTCATCTTGGAGTTGACCCCAACCCATGGCGACTCGCCTGTCTGTGGAGTGGAAATTCTCCCAGGGGGGTTTCAGGGCTGTGACATGCTGGACACAGAGAAGTGGGCCCCTTTTTCAGGCCACCTCAGGGTGGTTTGGAATGGTCCGTCTTTCCGCTAGTAGACAATGGTGGACAGTTGGTGCCACCCCGGGGACCCTGGATCAATGAGATGTTTTGCCATTTGGACACCATCAAGTTGGTTTCAACTCTACGTGAC